TTTTTTTTTTTTTTTTTTTTTTTTTTTTTTTTTTTGGTTATAAGTATTCATTTATTTCTTCTTTTCTCGGTTATAAGATATAATGTGCACTTTATGATGTACAATGGTGCATCTGGATCAACATACGTGTGCATTAACACATATTTGTTTTATTTTGTACGCTCAACAGGCATATGTTCAGGAGTTTGCATCTAAAACGCGACTTCTTGCCAGTACCGGAGTTGAAATATTACAAATGGTTGAGAAGGCGCCGCAAGTTCTTCTAGGAGACGAGAATTTTGCGAAAATGCGTGAGGCAGCTCAGAAGCTTCTTGGTGTGTACAGTGAAGTGCCACGTGACAATCCTAACCTTCCCGGCACAGTACAACCTCTTGACGCGTGTGCACAAAATCATGATGTATCGAAAGACTACGCGAAGAATGTTGCATCCCAGCTAGCCGATGACGCGTTCTGGAATGCTCCTGACACGTTAGCCGCGATAGACGAGATTATGAAAGCGGTCGAGCAACGTGATCGCTTCAAAAGAATGCAGTGCGATTTTCCTAGTTTTAGCTTGGGCTTATCTTCAGACGACGATGAAGATGATGTAGCTAACGACACGCGTCCACATGTGAGTGATCACGTAAATAGACAGCCGGTTGGGATGCAACTAGCAGTTGATGTGCAAAAAGGTATGTGAAATAATGTGTGTTTTACATCAATGTAGGTGTATTGTATGTGGTGCGTTTGGTTCTATTATATTATGGTTGCGTTGTTTTAATATGTTTGTTGGTTCATATACGAAGTGAAAGCCGGTGTGTCGGGCAAGACGACAAAGACAAGTGAGATTACAGCTGAGAAGACAAACACGGTCGTTGAAGACCTTAACCGATATCCTGACCAGGGTGTTACGGGTATAACTACAGGTATAATTGTGTAATACGTGGCACTATTAATGTACTATTTCTAGCGCTGATTCACAAACACGCATCGTGTAGCACGCATGCACACGCACGTTCACACACACGCTACACAAACACACACAAATGCAGACACTCACACACACACGCACATACACACGCATA